GGCTGCGGCTGCGGGTTGGTGGCCATGGCGGCCCGGGGAGCGCGCGGGCCCAGGCGGGCGGGCGCTCCGGGGAGGCGGCGGCTGCACAGGTCCCGCCGCCTGCAGGAAGCCAACGGGATGTTGTTACGGAACCAGCGGATAGAGAGTCACTCCGGAAGTGAAAGGGAACCGAGGGAAAAGAGGACAAGACAGTGACATCGGCCGCTATGGCGCAGTACGGAAGCCGCGAAGGCTCAATTCTAGCGGTCCTGGGGCGCGGGCGCCCTCGCCAGGCGAAGCGCCGGCGGCGGCTGAGAGCCGGACGTGAGCTCCGGGCCGTGGCCGCAGGGCTGGAGCCTCGGTCCCCCTCGGTGGCTTTCAGGCGGGCCGCGCTTGCTCCTCCCCGCCTAGCCGGAGGGATCCGTAGGCGTTGGTAGTGCGGGCCGTACGTGGAGTCCCTGCCCGGGACCTCCCTTCAGGTAGCTTCAGGGTCTGCACCCATCCCCCTTATCCCCTCTGACATGCCTGTGTCTAGGGCTCCATCCCTCCAGCCCCTTTTATTGCCCTGCAGGCTTTTACTTAGAGGGTCTTCCCCATGTAGCATGCATTGTTTCCCCCGCACGGCATTAAGTGCATTTGCACGCCTTGAACTAGACCAGTGTTTCGAAAAGCACGAAGATTTAGGTCCCTCTACTACGTTTAGTTTGCAAATTAGAAAACCAGGTAAATTGTGTGAAGTCACGCCGCCAGCAAATCGCCTTTAATTGTCTTTAAATCTTTAGGGCTTGACCAATGCTACATAATTAAAATTTTAATTAAAAAATTTTTAAATATTTATTTGTATGAGCATATTGTTTGCATGTGTGTAAGTGCACCCATACAGTGCCAATACCTGAGGGGGTCAGAAGAGGGTGTTGGATTCCCCTGGAGCTGAAGGTACCATATGGGTTAGCTGCCATATGGGTGCCGGGAATTGAAGCTTGGGGGCGCTGGAGAGATGGCACAGTGGTTAAAGAGCACTGACTGCTTTTGCAGAGGACCAATGTTCTGTTCCCAGCACCTACATGGCAGCTAACAAGTCTCTGTAACTCCAGTTGCAGGGGATCCGGAACCTTCTTCTGACCTCTTCTGGCATTGCACAACACGGGTACACTTACATACATGCAGGCAATACACTCATACACATGAAATAAAAATAATAAAATTTGTATGCATGTAAGTACATCATATATGTGCAGTGCCTGCATAGGAGGGCATTGGATCCCCAGGGAACTGGAGTTACAGATGGTTGTGAGTCACCATGTGGTGCTGGGAACTGAATCCAGGACCTCTGTAAGAGCAGCTAGTGCCCTTAACCTCTGAACCATCTCTCCAGTTTCAAGATTTAAAAAAAATACTAAATAGAATGTAAATTTGGTTGGCAAAATGGATATAGTTCCCTTTTAAAATTCATGCATCAGTGGATGACTATTACTAGATAGATTGAGCATCAGTTCTATTCCTGTTCTAGATGTTAACAACTACATGCTTTGAGGAATCTCATTCATATAAACAAGCATGGTGCTCAGAATTGGAAGAGTTTATTTCAGAAAGGGTCACACTGTGTGGCTCTGGCAGGCCTGGAACTCTCTATGTCATCCGCTGCCTCTATTTCCCTAGAGCTCCGATCACAGGTGTTAGGCACCGCGCCCCAATGGGGAGAGTTTTTTGTTTGAGACAGGGTCTCCCTGTAGCCCCAGCTGTCCTGGAACTCACTATGTAGACCAGGCTGGCCTTGAACTCACAGAGATCTGCCTGCCTCTGCCTCCCGAGTGCTGGGATTAAAGGCGTGTGCCACCATGCCCAGCTTTGCTCCTTCATTTTTTATTGTGATCAAAGAACTGAAAATCACCTGATTTATTGAAGAATTTGTTTACATACTCTTTATTTTTCATTTTTTCAAAATTTGGGACTTTTTGTTGAATTTTTGTGATTTTTCATACAATACAGTCTGATGGCATTTAGATCCCCTCCCCTATTCACACCTCTGTCCACTGCACCCCACCCACTTTAGTGTACTCTCTAATATATGATAATGTACTCTCTAATATATGATAAAGCCTAGAGTCTGATTTGTGTCTCCAAATGTCTTTCAGTGTGATCCATCCACTGTGCCCACAAGTGTCCCTTCCCTGTGAGACAGTCTCTCCCCTTAGCAACCATCAATTGCCAAAAGATCCTTAGTTTGGGTTGGGATTTCTTACCCACTTCCCCATTTTTCTGGGCTTATGTCTGGTTTGAGTTTGCATAAAACGTATATGCTTCATCATTGCTGTGAGTTAATATGTATAACTGATCATCTGTCTAGAAAACTCTGTTTCCTTGTGGTCATCCACCACCTCTGGCTCTTACAATCTTTCTGCCTCCTCTTCCACAATGATCTTTGAGCCTTGAGAGGCAGAGGTTTGACATAGGTGTCCTATTCAAGAATAAGCATTCTGTGGCCTCTTGTCCTCTACACTTTGGTCAATTGTGGGTTTCTGTGTTCATCACCATCTGCTGCATAAGGAAACTTCTCTGGTGAGAGCTGAGAGATGCATTCATTCTAAGTGTAGGGGCTGCATTGAAGATGTGTCACTTAAGGTTGAGCACCTCTGTGTTGACCAATTCTGGAATTCTAATACTCTTCATCTCTTGTGGAAAAAAAAGTCTCTTTGATGAGGGGTGAAAGGTACTCTTGTCTATAAGGATGCATGTGTAGAATATAGTAAGAAATTACTTTGGTCTAGGGATGTGGCAAAAGTAGGTTTTTCTCTGGGATCTATGACCTTTCCAGTCATGTGTATTTGGTTGTGTTTATAGTAGCACACATGAGTTCACATTGAGCTGACCTTAATTTCAATTAGATAGGTGTTGATTACCCCCAAGATAAAAGTGCCACTACTGAACCAATAGAGATAGTTTGCTGGGCCAGTCGTTGTTTATTAGACTTTATAGCTCGGTAGGACCATCGATTAGGTTTTCTCCCTTGGCAGCTTGTATAGTGTCCTCTGATACCACGAGAACCAGTCTTCAGGGAGGAGCTTCCAGGTCAGCTCCAGCTCCATTGCTCTAAGTCCTGGATGGCCTGTCTTCAGCAATGGGTCTTACCTTCAAGTTCTGGGAAGCAATCAAGGGCTGAGGCAACAGCCCGTTTTATTTTGGGAGTCTTTTGGACCACCCTGATCAACAACTCAAAAGGAGGTTTCTCTTGCCTTGCACTGTGCTATTTATTTTTCAGGGTCACCCTAGTCCTAGCCAACCTGGAAGTCATTATATGGACCAGGCTGGCCTAGATCTCACAGAGATCCACCTGCCTCTGCCTCCTGAGGACTGGGATTAAAGGTGCTTGCCATCATGCCCAGCATTGTGATTTTTGTTTTACACATTTACTTGTATATCTAATTTGTACTTTTTTAGAAGGACTTTGAACCAATACGTTTCCCTCTGGTTTCTCATGCCATCTAAACATTATTTATCTCTACTCTCTCCCCAGTTAAAGTAAACTCCTCTTCACTATTTCCTCCTTAATAACACCTGTCTCCTGCTAGCCCCCTCTCAAGCTCCTTCATCCCCTTTATCCCCATGGTTCCTTTCAATTGTCCTGGCTCATGCACTTATGTCAGGATATATATTCATATCTTGGGATTTGGAACTAAAATCCACAAATGAAAGAGAACACGTTGCTTGATTTTCTGAGTCTGTGTTACTTCACTTAGTATAACAGTTTCTAGTTCCATCCATTTACCTGCAAATTCCATGATTTCATTTTTTTTCTTTACCATGTCAGGATATATATTCATATCTTGGGATTTGGAACTAAAATCCACAAATGAAAGAGAACACGTTGCTTGATTTTCTGAGTCTGTGTTACTTCACTTAGTATAACAGTTTCTAGTTCCATCCATTTACCTGCAAATTCCATGATTTCATTTTTCTTTAGCTCTACACAGAACTCCATAGTGTAAATGCTCCACATTTTCATTATCCAGTCATTGACTGAGGGTCATTTAAGCTGTTTCTGTTTCTTAGCTATTGTGAAAAAAGCAGTAACAAGCATGGTTGGGAAAGTATCTCTGCAGTAGGATACTGAGTCCCTTGGGTATATGCCAAGGAGTGGTATCTCTGGATCATATGATAGATCTTTTTCACTTTCTTAAGAGTTCTCCACTCTGATTTCCACAGTGGTTGTACCAGTTTGCAATTGCACCAGCAGTGACTGGAAGTTCCCTTTTCCCCACATCTTTGCCAGCATTTATTGTCATTTTTCTTTTTTTATCTTA